TTAAGCGGCTGGTCAGATCTCTTTCCCACTGTCTTGCTAATGAGCTAAAGCCCCTTTTGATGATCTCCCCCCTTTACTTTTAATTATTGTTATTATTAGGTGTTATTGAGTACAAATCCTACTGTTCCTTTGAACAGCTAACCTGATCCCTGCCCTGTCCTGTACAATCCTAATCATCTCTGACACACTAGAGCACATGGCTGAAGTCACTGTGTCAGTCCTTCTTGTTGAAGGTCTTCCTCTCCTTTGCTGACTCTCCATCCATGTCCAAAGTGTGAAAGACGAAGCTTCACCATCTTTGCCACCAGCCAGGGAACATGTGCACTAAAGGTGCCATTAAAGAAACACTTGAATGTCTTGAGTCATCATAATCTGTTAACTCAGATTAAATTTTTAATTTCTGTGTTAATGACTGAGTTCCTTTACTTCTTGCTTGCTCTTCAGAAGGTTCAAACCCTGACTGTAGAAAATAACAGTTTACCACTATAAGAGATGTTAAAAACATTAACTAATAGGAAGTTCTAGAATATTCTGTTCATCTAAGGTGAGGACTCTTCAGTGTTGGTCACACGGCTTGGGGGATTTATTATTATTATGCTAAATACATAAGGTAACAAATAGTTTGTTGTTTCATGTGTACAGGCCAGTGACAGTTACATTTATCATGTGGTTCAACCATTACCATCATTTGATTCCCTGCTTTCCATGACTTCCTAGAAGCTCAGTGTCTTCCAAGCAGTGAGCATCCCACTATCTCCCTGTGCTGCCTTTTGAGCCTCATTACTTCATTAGACCTGCAGAGTCTAGTGATCCAAGCACTGCAGAGTATCTATGTATTTACCAAGAAAATTCACAAAGGCTCTTCCTACGTGATTTCTCGGAATAATTTGTTCTTATTCTAATAGCTTAGGGACCTTTTTGATCCTGTGTGGTGTGATTGATCATAAAACAACATAATTTACTTTTACTTTTTGTTTTTTCTGGAGTATAACATGTATTTTATGATGATAAGAGACATTTATTATCTTCATATCCATTTATGTCTCATTTATTATCATTTTCACTTTCTATTTTGTGTTATAATTGCTGTTCTATCTCATGCCATCTTCTCATGTCTCTTGAGAGTAAGGAAGGAATCTTGTTTAAACTTCCCTCTAAATCTCTGCACGTAAAACGGAAACCCCAACTCGTTGGGATTGATTCCTACATGTACTTACCCTATAGTACAGAGTAGAGATGTCCCATAAGGTTGCCAACGCTGTAATGTTTATGAGGTCCTTGGTGGCGCCTGGGCTAATTAAACCATAAGCTGCTAACTGAAAGGTTACTGGCTGGAACTCACCAAGTGCAACTTGAAAGAAAGATGTTATAATGTGCTTCTTTTAAGATTACAACCTTGAAATTCCTGTAGAGAAGTTATATTCTATTCTAGAGGATTGTTATGAGTCAGAATTGACTTGCTTGCATTGGGTTTTAATCTGTATGGCAGCAAATTCTCTTTGGCTCTGGTTGGTGCATACATTTGAATAATAATAGTATTAACAGATCTTCCTTGTAAACATATGGCTAGTATCCTGTCAATCACCACATTGTATTTCAAGATTAATGTAGAAATGACCTTTTTAATTGTGAATATGATCTCATTTTCTCACCGTTTCATCTCCACTATAGTATTTCATATGATTATCTCACTCAGAGTGTCCCATGCCAATCTATCCTATTTCGCCAGTGCCTACTGTGTCAATATTTATGAATTCCAGGTCTTTCTTAACAGAGTCCAATTTTCCTGTACTCATACCTGTCACATTTCATGTAATATTTTCTTGTGATTATAACCATTGCTTTTCATGGGTTAAGATTAAAAGGTAGTCTAGAGTCATGTGAGCAGGAATAGGGATGTGATAAGAGGTAGTAAGCAAGAAAGAAAAGTGTCAATATTTATTAGAAAGGCGAAAATACTCAGAAAAAGCCATGAGCAAATTTCCTACAATTCTAGTTTATGATGATGTCGTTAGGTGCCATCAGGTTGAACAACAGGTCTGAACTTTATCCTGTTCCATCTTCCCTATCTGTGGTACACTTAAGCCATTTTTACAGTCACTGTGTTAATCTATCTTCTCATAGTTCATAGTCAATCCATTTTTCAGGTGCTCCCGATAATCTTTTTAGTATTCCATTACCTGCAACAGTTGTTTATGTTTACTTCACACTATGAAGGAGTTTGGACAAGTGGGAGATGATTAGCTGATCTTCAGTAATTTATAGGACACTCCTATAACACTAAGATTTCTTGTCTTCCTTTCTAAGAAGAAGGAATATTAATACTCTTACCAGGAGAGAAGGGAAAAAAAATCTGGTCAGAAACAGGGAATGAGAAAAAGAAACATTTTATTCAACTAAATTAAAGAGCTCAGTAAAAACAATGTGATGTCTATAAGAAGACTGTCTGGTGTAACATTGCAGACCACAGCAAGTTGGGTTTCTTTTTATATAATTTTACAGAATGTGCTCTAAGTTGGTCAGTAGAGCTATAATCGAACATGGTGTTGGGTTGAAGAATGGTGTCCGTGTGTCCCATCACGTGGTTACTCTGGTCTAAGGCACCCTGCCCAGCCAGCTACATGGATTGTTCTTCTTGGCCCTGGCTAATCTCAAAAGGAAGGCATAGAGCTTGTTGATATTTCCCCTGAATACCTGAGAAAGTTGGAGTTTGTGGATTAATAAAGTCTTAATGGCATTGTGTTTATCTTATAAGAAAGTAGTTAAAGTACTTGTGCACCATATTCATATCAAATCGTGATAAAGAGAGCAGGAATAAGGAACTACTATTTTCAGATAGGAATCAAGTTGAATAGGGTTGTTTTTACAATTGGAATATGCTTCCTAAGTTGAATAGAGTAGTATTTGTGATAGGTTCTACTTGAAGAAGTTTTTAAGATGTGGAACGACACTTTAAATGTGCTCGCTTTTGTAATATCTGATGGGTGTGGGGTTTTGTATGTAGGTTATCATTTCAATAGACATAAAAACTAATGTGTTATTCACTGTGGATCTGTCTACATATCTTATTGCCTTGATTTCTTATATTATTTCTGAATGGTCCCTTGAGTGTATGGAAGTAGTGATCGTTTTTGTACTTTTTGCTATTATGCTTTTCCGGGAAAACAAAGTGAGCTTTTCGTGCTTGAGTAAACACATTGATGTATTATGAAACTGTCAGACTCTTTGAACAGTTGGCACAAGCTCAATTATTCAAATATGTGACTCCTTTGAATGGCTTTTGTGTCAGCTAATGCTTCAGTACAGCCAGCATAAAGAAATTTCAGTACCTTTCCTTAAGAATTTAGAGTTCAACTGTATGAATAAGGAAATCCAGAAGGATTAGCCCTTTTGTTGAGTAGTTTCTTCATTATCATATGCAGCTAATTGGCAGCATCCATTTACTGAGATTCATAGTTCATTCTAGTCTAGGCTTTTCTTTTTGTTTGTAAAGAAGTAGTTTTCAAAAGTCTTTCATGCATTTTCCCCCCATCTCCTAACATGGTTCCCCCTCCCCTGTCCATCTTTCTTTCTTGTCTATGTCTGGGTATACTTTTTTACACAATGTGCCTGCAGTTTTGTTTTTATATTAGTTGTATTTGCAGTGTGAATTTTTTTGTAATAATTGTTTAAATGATACTTATGTAATCATATATTAATAATTTGTCTTGCTTGACAAGTGAGGTTTCTAGAGTTTTCATGTTGTTACATGGGCAGTGTTTGTCATTATTGCTTGTTTTTAATTTTTTTCTGTTGTGTGATGATGATAGATAACCCAGAAGTAGCATTATAAGACCAGTGGACTTGAAAAATGTGTATGGTTTATGGATAGCCCAATTAAAGTTACAAATAACATGCGGGTAAATAACATGAGTAAAACATTTACGACCTAGTTGCTTTCCAAGGGAGCTCTGGTGGCCTAATGGGTAAAGAGTTGTGCTGCCAACCCAAATACAAGTGGTTTGAATCCACCAGGTGCTCCACAGGAGAAAAATGAGCAGTCTCTTCCTGTGTGATTTACAACCTCTGAAAACCCGATGGAGGCTGAGCTATGAGTTGGCTCTGGCTCGATGGTGCATAAACAACAATAACAGTTTCTCTCTTAATGACAACATCTCATGTACCTCCACTGTGTTTGTTGTTATGTGCTGTTGAGTTGCTTGCGACTCATAGCGACCCTATGTACAACAGCACTAAACCTTGCACTATCTTGGGCCAATCTCACTGCCTCCAACACAGTCATCCCAATTACCCCAGTCACTGAATGAGTCCACCTCATAGAGGATCTTCCCCTCCTGCACCATCCCTCCAGCATGATGTCCCTCTCCAAGGACTGGTCCCTCCTTACAACATGCCCAAAGTATGGCAGACAAAGCCCCAGAATCCTGGCCTCCAAGGAGCCACCTGGTTTAACCGCCTCCAGGATGAATCTTTTTGTTTTCTTGGCAGTCCATGGTCATTCAATACTCTTCTCCAGCACCACAGCTCAAAGGCATCAGTTCTCCTTCTATCCACCCTAGTCATTGTCCAACTCTATGACACATAACAAGTGATTGCAAAGACCATTGCCTGTATCAGATGCGCCTTAGTCTCCAGAGTGAAACCATTGCTCTTCAGTACTTTGGAGAGGTCCCTAACAGCAGACTTTCCCATCACAATACATCTTTTAATTTCCTGGCTGCTGGTGCCAAGAGTATTGACTGTGGAGCCAAGCAAACTAAAGTAGTGAACAATTCCAATCTCTTTACCATCCATCCTGATGCTGCCACTTGGTCCAGTGGTGAGAATCTGTCTTCTTGATATTGAGCTTCAATCCATATTGAAGCTGCAGTATCAAAATCAAGAAAATGACAAGTCCTTGACTTTTTTTTTAATTCTACATTTTGTTAAATTTTATATTAGTAAAAAAGTTTACATTGCGAATCCATGTGTGACCTATGTGAAATTCTTTTGTCTTTCAGCAATTTTTCCAGCTAATCCGATTACGAAAGCTTGGACTTAGCGATAATGAGATTCGGAGGCTCCCTCCGGAAATAGCCAACTTCATGCAACTAGTGGAACTTGATGTGTCTCGAAATGGTAAGAAAAAGGTTATACCTGGGATTACCCATTATGTTTGAGTCTTCAGATGATAAAAGTACTTTTAGTAAATCTTGCTAAATAATTTGTTTGCCTGATGGTTATAGAAAAGCGGTACATAAATTTGGGAATGAAATGAACATGATTAGTAATCTACCATTTTAAAATTTTGAAGTAAATTTAAAGGTATTTCCCAAAGAGAAGAACACATTTTAAAAAAGACAATACTCTCAAAAAGCAGGGTCAGTTAATAACTGGAGAATCTAGCACCTCATTATACCGAATGTGATGCCGAGCTCAAGGTGGTGCTTGCATGCCACCAAACCCGGGGTGGGGGTGGGGGGTGGGAAACCAGCCCAGGAGAAGGGTTGGTTTCCACTGGCCGGAACTGAATTGCCTGGTATGCTCTTGTGAGATACTGTCTTCCCGAGTGATAAGCCCTGCTTGCTGTTCAAGTGTTTTCTGTCATTTAAATCTATTTCAAGTCATGAGGGTGGTGGTTCTGCCCACTTGGATGTGTATAGTGTTTTTGTGGCCTTTGATTTCCAGAATTCACTATTACGCTGTTTCCTTTTATTGAATATCTGTAAGTGTTGTCATTGGGCAGAATCAAATTGATTCTAGCTCATAGTGACCTTAGAAGACAGAGCAAACCAACCCTCCAGCGTTTTCTAAGCTGTAGTAATTTTTGGACCTATAGGCAACATAATGTAGATGGAGAAGAGATTCAAATTGTCAACAAGTTCATCTTACTTGAATCTACAATCAGTATGCTTGGTCCCAGTAGTCAGGAAATCAGGAGATGTCTTGTACTGGGACAGTCTGCAGTTAGAGAGATCTCCAAATTATTGCGAAGTAATGATGTCAGTTTGAAGAATAAGGTGCATCTGATTCAGGCTACGGTCTTTCTGATCATTTGGTATGTATCTGAGGGCTGGACAGTGGAATATGACTAACCGAAGATATGATGCCTTTAACCTGTGGTTGTTAGAGAGAGTGCTGAACATCCCATAGACTGACAAAGGAACAAAAAATATGTGTTGGAGAGTGTAGCCAGAGTGCTCCTTGGAAGCACAGATGATAAAGCTTCACTGCACCTAGTTCAGGCATGTTGCTAGGAGGGGCTATTCTTTGGAGAGTGACATGGTTGGGAAGGTAGAGAGTCAGTGAAAAAAGTGGACAACCCTTGGCTGGGTGAATTGACATGGTGACTGCTGTAGTGGCCTCTAGTCCATTAGGAAGTGAGGATGGCCCAGGACAGGGCAGGGTTCAGATCTGCTGCATTGGGTCATTATGAATAACCTCTGACTTGTCGGTACCTCACGACAAGCTAACAATCATTTTTGGGAGCAGAACATCTGGCTTTTTATCCTGGAGAGTGACTAGAAAATTCAAATGCCTTTCAAATTGCAGCAGAGCACTGAGGCATTGCACCGCTAGGTTACTTAATACTGTTCAGTTTTAAATGAGAACTGTAGCTTAACTCGTTGTTTCAAAACCCTGGGAACATTCAGAGTGGAGTAGTAGTACCCTTACTTGTAATGTTGTGTACTATTGAGTTGGAACTGCCTCGTAGTTGACCCTCCAGCAGGTTTGTAGAGATGGAGATTGCCCATCTTTCTCCACGGAACAGTTTGTTATTTCAAACCATGTGCCTTTGGGATGTCAGCACAGTTTCTTACCACTAGGCCAAGAATTGTTGTTGTTGTTTGATGCTGTCGAGTTGTTGACGACTCATAGTGACCCTACGAATGAACAGTCTGAGCACTGTTCTACATAGAGTTTCCGGAGGCAAGCCATTTCTGAAGTGGATGCTGCTCCTGCTTCCAGGCTTGGTTTAGTCGGGAAGCTCCAGCCAACTCTGTCCACCATGGGTACCCGTTACCACGATTGGCACATCACTGTCACAGTCTTCAGCATCACAGCAACCACGAGTTACTTCTGTACAGTAACACACAGACCAGTGCTATACCACCTGCACATCAAACACATTCCCGGAAAAGCAGTCGACTCCAAAAGCTTGCCACAATTCCTGCTCTCACACCACCATGCTCCTGGCAAGGAGAGTTTCCCAAGACGCTGGGAGGAACCCAGGCTAACAATAAGAGATTAATAAATTGAAGTGGCAGCACCTCATGGTATTATCAGGATTAATTTGTTGTGAAGATGTTTGCGTGATTTTAAAAGACATACTGTTCTAAATTTTATATTGGCCAAAATCTGGATATGTTGTTATTGTTATGTGCCCTTGAGTTTACTACCACTCATGGTGACCCTGTGAACAGATCTGAACTGTGCCCTACCCTCCACCATCATCAAGTTCACTGTTAGAGTCACTGTGCCAGTTCTTGTTAAGGGTCTTCCTCTCTTTTTCTGATTCTCCACTTTTCCAAGCATGATGCCTTTTTCTAAGAACTGGCCCTTCCTGATAACATACCCAAAGTATGTGAGATGAAGGTTCACCATTCTCGCCTCTAAGGAACCTCCTGGTCTTACTTCCTCCAATACAGATCCCTGCAGGCCGGGGCATAAGACCATTATTGTAGGATGAGTATGAGGATCTAGAGGGGAAGGAGGGGGGGAGCAGAGGTCGTAGGATGGGTGGGGGCTGTATAGTGATCTAACACTTGGTGGTTTCGTAAATCACAAATGTCTTTTGGCAAAGTTGTATGTTTTAACACAGGAACCACTGTTACCTTTTATGCAAATTATTTCTGTCCTTGAAGGTACTGGAAAACAGTTTTGGGGAAAGTCTTATTTTAGACTGGATTAATTACAGGGATCCCAGATCTATTTTAGTAAAGGAGATTTTTTAAATTTTTTTATTTTTTACATACTCCTCCTACCCCTCACCTATTTTACTGTTTTGTTTTTTTGTGTGTGGTTTTAAAAAAATATTTTATACTGGTTTATTTACAAAGATTTGATATACACTGGATCTTTCCCATTTCCTCCAGTTCCTTAACCAACCCCTCCACCCATCAAATTGTGTGACCATACCACACCACCCCCCACCCATCCTACGACCTCTGCTCCCCCCCCCCCTTCCCCTCTGGATCCTCATACTCATCCTACAATAATGGTCTTATACCCCGGCCTGCAGGGATCTTCAGCAGTGACCCTAGGAGGGGAAGAATGAGAATGGGGGGGGGGACAGGAGGCACAGAAGCGTGGAGACAAGTTGAAAATTCCAATCAAGTCTCAATTTTATTGAAAGCACTCACAGCTTATACACAGAAGCACAATGGGGGGAGGGGAAGTATGCAGTGGAGGAGAATAGCATCATGTCATTTCTAGTAATCTAAAAGTTATCTGGTTAACAGAAACTTAGCAGGGCGTTTCCCGAAATCTATCCTCCCAGGGTGGGGTAAACTGAAACCTATCCTCCCAGGGCAACATTTCCAAACATGTCCTTAGAGAATTACAAAATGGCTTCAGCTAGGTTGAACTAGTAGCCCCCAACAGTCTTATACAGTATTTGTCATTATGAGTTAGTTCACTTAGTATTATGCTCTCTAGTCCCTCCTAAATTAGGTAGTAATTCACAGAATCATTGCTCCTGCATGTTGTGTAGTATTCCATCTTGTAAATGTACCATAATTTCTCAATCCATTAGATTGTGGTTGGACATCTGGGCCATTTCCATGTTCTTGCGATGGTGAATAATGCTGCTCTGAGCATTGGTGTACAAGTTTCCATTTGTGCCTTAGTTCTCATTCTCTCGGGGTATATTCCAAGTGGTAGAATAGCTGGGTCATATGGAATTTCTATGTTCAGCTTTTTGAGGAAGCACCAAACTGCCTTGCAGAGTGGTTGTACCATTTTACAATCCCATTAACAATGTATAAGAGTTCCCATCTCATTACATCCATACATACAGGCCTCATTACATACAGGCCATGGTCTTTGCAATCACTTGTTATGCGTCAGAGAGTTGGACAATGACTAGGGAGGATAGAAGCAGAATTGACGCCTTTGAGCTGTGGTGCTGGAGAAGAGTATTGAATGTTCCATGGACTGCCAAAAAAACAAACAGATCCAGCCTAGAGAGGGTTAAACCAGGCTACTCCTTGGAGGCAAGGATTCTGGGGCTTCGTCTGACATACTTTGGACATGTTGTAAGGAGAGGGGGATTGATTCTGTGACTGGGGTAATTGGGATGGGTGTGTCAGAGGCAATGCGATTGGCACAGGATAGAGCAGGGTTTAGGGCTGTTGTACATAGGGTCGCTGTGAGTCACAAATGACTCGACGGCACATAACAACAACGACAACAACAACAACAACCAGAACTGCTGACTCTGGGTCTGTTCTGTATGGTATATATTTAAGATATATGCAACCTGGTCAGCTGACTGTAAGAGATCCATATTTATTCCTATCCAAATAAAGGTGATCCGACAGAGTGTGGAAACCATCAAACAATATCACTAATATCACACACAAGCAAAATCATGCTGTAGATTATCCAAAAATGACTGGAACAGTACATTAACAGAAATCTACCAGACATATAATCTGGGTTTAGAAGAGACCATGGCACTAGAGACATTATTGCCAATGACAAATGGATCTTGGCCAAAAGCAGGGAGTACCAGAGGAATATCTATCTGTGCTTTATTGACTGTGCAAAGGCATTTGATGGTGTGGATCACAACAAATTGTGTCTAACCCTGAGAAGAATGGGAGTCTCATAACACTTGATTGTGTTCATGTTAAACCTAGACTTTGACTAGGAGGCATTCATCAGAACAGAGCAAGAAAACACTGCATGGTTCAAAATCAGGAAAAGAGTGTGTCAGGGATGTGTCCTGTCTCCATATGTTGTTAATTTATATGTGGAACAGATTTGAGAGACTGGATTTAGTGAGGGGGAGTGTGGCATCAGGATTGGAGAAAGACTCATCAGTAACTTGCATTATTCAGATGGTATAACCTTGCTTGCCGAAACTTAGGAGGGCACAAAACATTTGCTTCAGAAGGTCAAGGACTGTAGTATTC